TTGTAACTCTTCAGACTGAAGCTGGAGACATCAGATTGTTAGTGTGCTTTTACAGTTTCTTATCAAAATGCAGGGACACTTCTACCTGCCTGCATTACCATTCTAGGTGCTTTCTTCATGCAGTCAGGCACCCACTTGATATAAGTTTTACAAAATGTGGAACCAACATAAGTCTCACAGAAGAGTTGAAGTGTGTTGAGTAATTAATCCATCTTTAGGTTGAATATTCCTCTTTTAAGTGTAGATGATGTAATCTGAATAGTCTGAATGTTGTCAAAATATAATTTCCTCCAGGCAGAAGGATCAGTTTTGTTACTTTCAGTCAAAATGGATAATCATGTTTGTTCTTAGACTAATATATTCTATTGCCTTTTTAAATACAGAGCTTTTTTTATTCAACATTTCTTGTATTAACACCTTGTACATGGATACTGTATTTCCTTGTATTCTTTCTCATGTTTCAGAACTGTAATAAGAGAGAACCTGATTCAGGAATAAAATTTTATAGTTTTTCTTCACTTTTCCTTCAGATCTGGAGCAAGCACCTATACTCTTGGCTTTGCCTCAGGATAAACTGTACCTACACTGACTTTAATAGAAAGTGATGTGGAGGCAGTAAACTTGTAGTTCAACAGAATTTACAAATCAATTAGATTTGCTTGTTTGCAATAATTTTACTAGTCTTTTCTCAGATACTAACAGGTTCTTCAAATATAAGCAAATTTTATTTCAGGAAGCAATCTTTTGATGTTTTTCCTGTGAAAAAGATGACAGAGTTTGGTCTAAATGTTTTCAAAGTGCTGATGTTAAATGCCCAATTGCTGGGAAGGATTCCTGTCTTTAGGCAGTCTGATGTTCCATGGAAACAAAAGTGATAGTTTTAATTTGTCAATTATTTTAGTGTTAACATTTTTTTATTCTTGAAGACACTGTGGTAACTCTTGGAAGTTAGTCATCTAGAGCCTCTCTTGGAGGAGGCTATTTTTAAGAAGCTCTTTTCTGTGTAAAATGCTAGTGACCTTAAATATACTAACACTTTATCTCTTGCAATGCTAAAAGAAAGCTCTGTCACTACTACTAGAAACTGCTTAGATTGGCTTATAGTTAAAAGAACAAAACATGGAAGTTTTACTTTAATCTATAGTATTACTAAATATTTAGCAGATGGGCCTTTTGGGTAACAGGAAGGCTTGCCTGACCTACTTTCATTTTAATCACTGAAGGGGTATTTCATGATTTGTTGCTGGCAAAGTTCAGCTATTACATTTCTGATGTGAAAGCTTATCATCTGAGTGTGGGTTCTCTATTTTTTTTTTTTTTGGAAGGATATTGGTGAGAGTAAAGCAGGGAAAAATGTGTGAAGGATTTTGTCTCCTTCCCTCAGGTCTTTTTAATTCTGCCTTGAGGTATTGGCATGTTGCTGAATTTTTGGACTGCTGAAGCAGTAAGTAGCAAGATCATTCACATGACAGTGGGTCAGTTTTCCTTTGCAGCGAATCCCATCAGCCACTCTAATTTTTTCCAGTGTCTTTTTGCAAGAAGCTTTCTTCCAAGGAAGTGACTATAGTTCTGTACCAATTAATATGTTCATGTTTTTCCTATTTACTTTATTCTTATCTATTCTTTTTGTATTTTGTAGAGTGTTTCTCTCACTGTGAAATAATTGCTGTGTAGCATGTGCTCCGGCTCTTCTTGAAGTTTTCCACCGTATATTTAAAACAGTTCATGGGCAGTGTGTCCCAGTGGCTGCTCTTCCCCCTCTTGCATTTTTAAAATTTCCTCTTTGATTGCCAGTAGAGGTTTTGTGGCACAGACGAGATTTGTGGATGCTAATAAATAACATTACCCTTGGCTGCCTGTTAGTTGGTTTTCATTCTGTAGACTTGCACGTCATCTGTTGAATTCATGTGTGAAAACTATGGCTGTGGGTAAGGGCATGGTGTGTTTTTAGTGTGTGTTGGAAAAGCCATTAACCGGTCAGAGTGCTGGAGATGAGACCTCCGACAGAATTGGGTAACTGGGGAGTGGGGGAGAGTGGAGGAGGAAGTTGCCACTGATGTTGGGTACAGCTTTTGGCTTTGAAGACAGAGATGAGTTGTTCTGTAGTATTATCTGAAATGGACTGTTGCTAGATCCTCTTCTTCCTCTATTTTCATCTCCAGTGGCAGATGTCTTAATTCCTGCAAAGAACCATGGTCAGACAGAAAACAATCCAGCATTTTCTTCTAGGGGAAGCACCTGTTACAGGCCAGTTTGGACACTTGAAATTTTCTCAAGAGTATGGAATGTATGAAGGCAAATATTCTGATATTTGGGATGAAGAATGCTCTACACAGTCCACTGTGTTTGACTCTCCTCAAATTTCCTCCTAAATTCCTAGGTTTGTACAGCATAGATCATTTTTACAAGAAGGCCATAAATTCTATGCATTCAGGTCACCTTGTTCATACAATGTGTTCATAAAACTTGTTTGTAAAGATGGTGGGAAGATTTAATAACAGAATAGGTGGCCACTCCTTTGTAGAGCTGTAGCTTCAAAACTACATTTCACAGTTTCAGGCCTTTACTGGTGTAATTTTGATCCCCTGCATAAATTTAGAAAGTGTCCAAGCTCTTATAGCCCCCTAAGATTTGGGTAGCAGTGAGAGGAAGGCTTATCTTGGGCTGGCTGCAGTGATTCCTTTTCCAACTGCTGCTGAACAGTTTGCATGCGCTTCCTGCCACTGAAGTAGGGTTGGCTCAGCTGTTTATGCAGCATTTGCCCAGACTGCAAATGTGTTTGTTTAAAACCAGAGACTTTAAGTAACCAAACACTGATGTCCTCCTGATTTGTAAACTGAGGCCCTCTTTTTTTGGCGCTAACTCTGCAGTTTGAAATCAATATAACTTCACCCTCCGAAAATAAGCATTACTTCAGCTGTACCTTCCTAGCACAGTCTCATGTTTCAGATAAAACCCTTTCCTGGAAGAGTGAAGGGAAAATTAATTGGTGGTCCTCACGCCAGATTGGTAGGAGGAAAGTTAAGCATCCTCATTTTGTCCCGAAATCAAAAGCTGAAGTCTGGGAATTATTTATGAATTGTTTTCCCCAAAGATGTCAAAAATCTTACGGTATGGAAGAGTTTGAACTGTATTTCCATTGCTGGTTGAGACTTCTAGACAGGGAGTTTGTGTTTAGTTTATGTAGCCACCCCCCCAGGGCTGTTTGCAACACCGCAGACATGTTGAGGCTTTGTCTGTTAACACTTCTTATCCTGTTCCTCATTCTTCTCTCTGGAGCAGTTACCAGAAATTCTCGGATGCTTGTGGTCTGAATATTTCTTCACAGTAAGCAAATATGCTGGTATTGATCAGGGAAGCAGTTAAAGGTTAAAAATGTTCTCATTGCTGAAAATTGAACACAAACTTTTTTATTGCATGTGGAAGCAAAAAAGGGACTTCTGTATTCTTCTGAAACCAACCTTCTGAAATTTATAGAAGATTGGGATGAACAAAGAATGAGTAGAATTTAAAAAATTAAAACCTGTAGCAAAATGTGAAATAAATGGATTTTAGTTAAATATGAAAAAATGCTAAGGCAGAGCATGAAAAAGTAAGTGTTCCATGATAGATAGTTGTTTGCCATGCAAGCTCTGTATAACAGAACTTAGAAGTTCAGTGGGCAAGGGGCAGTAAAAATTGCCTCAATTCACAGAAAAGGAGGCAAGGTAGTTGAGCATTGAAACTACTGAATTAGGGAGCTTGTGGGGCTGACTTCATTACTGGTAGACAAATGCACTGAGGATATGTTAAATGTTGTAGCAGGCTGTCTGCAGCGCTTCTTAAATGATAAGACCAGAGAGTGGTCTTAGAAACCTTCTTCGTTTACCTTCCTACTTCTCTGATCTTGAAACACTGTGAGGAAAGGAACTGAGCCAAGAAAGGGCTGTGCAAGCTGACTAGTCCTCTGTAGAACCTCACATCTGCTAAATCATACATAGTGAGTGCAAAACTCGCTTTGTCCCCACCTTTCAGTCCTCTACTGTTAGCATCTGTAATGTCAGAGGCGTTTGTGAGAGGGGACGAGGCCTCGCGGTGACGGCAGGCGGCTGTGTAGTTCCTCTCTCATCCCTTGGACGCAGCGCAGGAACCTCTGTCCAGCCAGGGCCTTGGTGCCGACGCCAGGGGAGTAACGCGGCCACACACATGAACCTTGCCTGTTGGGTTCCTGCATTAATAGCCCTGATGAATGGACTGGTTGTTGAGGAAGAGTTGGTTTATATGTTCAATCAGTAACTTTTATTTCCTTGATATCACTGAAATGTTTAAAATGTCTGCATGTGTCTCTTAAGATTGGGCAGCGGGAGAGGGGGACACCTGCAGATTTAGCTGCAGTGGTTCAGAAAGTTTATGGCAACATATGAACTCTGGTCTTTTGTTGGAGCTTGTCACCATCAGAAGTAGTTCAGCAGAAGGGGCTGGATGTGGGTGCCCACAAAGCCCTGTAGTGTTGTTGCCACTGCCCTCCCAATCTTTTCAGCTCCTTCTCATGTGCTCTCACTCTAGCATCTCTGCCAGTTTTGTTATTGGTAACTTTTTCTGCTATCTGTAAAGGCATAAAATAAATCCAGGCTCAAAACAGAAATTCTCCATTTGGTTTTGGAAGCTTTTTGTTCTGCTATGTTTCATTATAGTAGACTACTGTGTTTGCTGTATTTTATTTTTTTGTAGTGAAACATACTGCAACTTCCTACGACAAGAAGGAGGAGTGTCAGTAGTTCATGCAAAGGCTCAATGTTTGTTACCTGGTTTAGGGAGATCTAGTTAGCTACATTGGGGAGTTTTAAAAGGAAAAGGGATCACTTGATCTGTCAGCGAGACCACATGACAAGCAGCTGAATGTAATTAGGTGGGTAGGGTGGTTGTGTGGGTCTGGCAGCTTTGCATGTCAGTGAATTTTAGAGCTATTATTCTGAACTACAGGATTTTGGTTTTATTTTCTTTCCTGATACTATCTGTAGATGAGAAATGGCTCTTTTTGCATGACAATGGTATTCAAGACATCTGAACTGTGTCAGGGAACTGGTCACTGAAGTGCCCTTGGAAAACTACAGATCCATTTGCAGCTGTTAAGTATAGGTATGTAAACACTGTCTCTTTTTAAATTATTTTCCTAAGATTTATTACATTGTTTTCCTTGAGCTGACAGTTGTTGTATGCCAACTGTTCCTCTGTTAAGAGCTTTGAAACAATGTTGCTGTACTTTTGACAAACTGCCTGAAATGTTTTGGGAGACAGGTCAGAGTTGCTGCATGCTCATGTTCTAGAGGGGAAAAGTAAACTTAAAACTGGGAAGTATATTGGCTTATGTAAAACATAGGCTTTGGGTCTAAAGGACAAAACTGCAGCTCTTTGATATGTCTTTGGTCGTTGCTTTTCACAAAGGAGTCAGTCAGATTTAAAGACACTTGGGTAAGTTCATCAATAAGATTAAAATAAATGACTGCAGTGACCAGTGTCTGAATTCAGTAACTGTAGGATGCTCCTTCTGGTCCCAAGTCATCAGCCTACATTTTCTTCTCTGTTAAATCAAACTTTTTCTACAGTTAGAAAGTAGAATTAGACCTTTAACAGTAAAGTGTCCTGTGCAAATAACATTTCGTAATACAGAACAAAATAACTCTGTATTTTTAAATGTTGTACTGCTTGAACTTTTTCCCCCTCTATCTATTCCTTTGTTCTCAACATATAAAGGTAAGTTGTACTTAATAAACAGTCCTTTAGAATGGTTTTTTAACTGGGTTCCGTCCCATCATGTTTGTTCTCATGCACGCTAAATTGATGATAAAAGGAATAAAAATGGTGTGCTGCGGAGTCTATTACTTCTAATTAGCAAAAGAAATTGGACTTCAAGGAACCATGAGAACTTATCTAATTCACATTGCTTGTTCAATCATATAGTAATGGTTTCAATCTTAAAATTAATTATGGTGAAGGCAATATGGGGGTGGACTGTTGTTATTGTGTTGTGTATCTCCTCTGGAAGAAACCCAGAATGTATGTGCCTATCTGACTAGGTTATTACTTGCCACCCCAAGCATGAATCTGTAATCAGGCATCCTATCTAGGCCATGAATTTGACAGTGTTTTTCTAATCATGGACCAAACCCACAGTTTGGAGTTTGTCTCCAGATAACCAAGGAGGAGTTATTCAGAGAACAGAAAACAGTATTCTCCTCTACTTTTGTGGGAAGGTCACAAGGCTTTCCCAGGGTTTTAATTAATGTCTAGCATAGAGTATTTTAAGATGATTTTTCTAGTCCTGATTATCACCCCTTGACTTGTGTTTATGAGAACGAAGTGACAAATTCATAAACATAGTTAAATAAATGTTTTCTTGCTGTTTCTTTATAGACATCCTCAGTATATGAAAAGCTTGTATAAAATAACTGGGAGGCAGGATTTTTGTAAGCATTGATGCTTGATTTAGTGTTGGTTTTTTTTTTTTTTTTTCTATGTTGGATGGATTGGTTGTCATAATTGCTTCATTGTAATTTACTGTTACATAATGCTTTTAAATTATTGCATTACATGTGTATTTTGAATGTGTGTTACAGAAACAATTTCTAGGTCATTTTAGGGTAGTGATTTCTACTAGCCTGAGTTATTTGTGGATTAAATTTTGATAATGTTGGGATTCTCTTATATAAAGCAAAACAAAATTCTAGCATGTGGTGCTGTCGCCCTTTCCCTCACCGTACTCCCAGTGTGGTTTCAGTATATGTGCTTTTTTCCAGCATGTCTTTCATTTACAGCACTATCCTAAACAAAGCACCCTTAGTAATTAAGCCTGGTAAAGACAAATTAGGAGTGTAGTTCAGCTGGAATTCTTTAAACATGTCACTAAGAATGGCATCAAAGAGAAAATATCTTTTTTTTTCTTTCCTTTAAAGAAAAAAAGTTGAAAAAAAGAAGACCAACAAAAATTCTGAAACTATACTAAATTAAAGAATTAACTCATACTTAAAAGCAGTTAATGGACAAAGACCTGGAACATATCCTAGTGGAATGAGGGAAATAAGCTTTAGTCAAAGGGAAGTAGAAATAACTTTTCAAGGGGAGAAAGTTAAGAGTAGCTTTTCTTTGGTCTAAAATGTTTGACTTTATAACTAGGAAACAATATAGCTGCTGCTTCTGAGTTTTGTTTGAATACTGTGTCAGCGAGATTAAGTTTCTTTACAAAAATTCAGTTTTGATGCATTATGGTGCAACTGTTGGTATAAACAGAAGCAGAACTGAGATCCTGGTGAGGTGGAAATTCTCTGGAAGTGAGTGGGTTGGTATATGTTAGCATATCTCCACTATAGGCACTGCAGCTGTACTGATTAGTGCTAAATGAGATTTTCTTTTGTCACATACTGCATTTGTTTTTACTGGAATCTCTTAATTGGATTTTTATTTCCTTCTATAGGAAATCATATGCACTGCTTTAAAATCAAACCAAACACTGTAAGCCAAAGTCAGAGTTTTAATATGAGATGAAACTACAGCACCTAATTTAATGAATCTTTTCAAATAGAAACTCTTGCTGGACAGTACCGTTGCATACTCCAGTGACTTGTGCACAGAAGGGTATAGCTGAATAGATCCCTTCATATCTACTTACTCTTTATATCTTGTTTTTAATTTCAGAGGTTTGATGCATTTCTCAGTCATAATGTAGAATGTAAAAAATTACAGATTGTTATATGAAGTTTGTCAGTTTGTGTGGGATTTTCGGATTCTTCATAAGTATGCAAGGTTTTATACTTGGTGCTAGGTCAAGAAGACACAGTCTGAATCCTCTGTGGTATGAAAACTACATGTCCGTTTCTTTGATGTTTTCTACAGGAAACTTGCACTTCTTGGATCAATTAGAGCAGTCTGAATGGTGATTTATTTTCTTAGAATAACTATATTTTTTCTGGAACTTGGGTTATAGAGGTGGTTGTTCCGTAAGCTTGCTGCTTCTGAGCCATTTATTAGCTATAACAGAAACATTCTGAATAATAACTTTAATTGAAGACTTCTGGGGGTAAGTGGTAGGAAATTGCCTGTTATTGTGGGTCAGTTAAAGTGAAACTTGATGACACTGTACGTCTGCAGGAAGTGTTGCAAAATAATTTTGCAGGAAGGAGTCTACAGCATGAAAAGCTGGCAATGGCTGCCAGGTGTTGATCTACAGCCACTTTGGGGCCCTCCCTCAATCTGGGAATAACTAAAATGAATAGTACGGGCAAACTGTGGTATTAGACTTGTGAGTCTTTTTGCTTTCCTTGCAGGGCTCATGCATACCTCTGTGACAAGAATTAGTGTAAGGAATTCTAGCTTGCTGTGCCATTTATCTGAGCAGTCTTTGCTGTAGATGTAATTGTAATTCATGCTGTAATATGGGATTCTGATCAGAGCAGTAAGATAAATAGTGTTGGCAACTCAGGTTGAAAAACAGCAGGCTTTTTGAATGGAAGCTTTGTGTTGTGCAGTTCAGCCTGCTTAATCAGTGCTTTTTTTGAATTATCCCTTCCTTAAGGCTCTAGAAAAGAAGCTGTGCTAGGATACGAACTGAAGCAAACATTTTACCAAGGCACCATCTGAATATTTTGGCGGACTGCAGAGCTTCAGTAGAAAGGTTGGACAGTGTTAATACATGCTGCAGGTCTAGAGCTGTTGAAGTGAAAGATTTGTTGACTTGTTGAAAGCATGGGCTTATTTTAAAATTCTTGCGGGGAAAAGCCCCACAACTGTAGTTTTAGCTTTGCTTTGTTAGAGCAATTTAAGGGTGATAGCTTTGAACCACAAGCATGCTCAAAAATGACTGTGTCTTGTTGTCACAGATCGAGATTTCTGCTTTGCTGTCTCACATTAGTAACTTCCTGAAGAAAACAGGTCATGGCCTGTTGAATATACCCTGGCTCTATTTCAGGCAGAAGTGGTGTTTTATTATGTAATGGATGAGTTAAATTATGCCTGGAATATTCTCAGCAAGTTATTTGTCACCTTTTCATAGCATTTATGAAACATGGAACCATCACATAGGCTTACTGTTTCCAGACATGTTTACTAAAAAATCCAGCCCAATACTGGCTGAAAATATCTCTCTCAGACTATAGCTATTCCAGACTCTGAAATCAAAGGCTCAGTTCCTTTCAGAGACATCTTAGGAGCAGATTATTCACAGCTGACCCATCTCGCAGTTTCTTTAAAGTGTCATGCTGCCAGCCTGCATTGCTCTGCTGTCTCCACATTTCAGTGGTTGCCAGCATGATCTGAAGTAGCCCCAGCGCTCTCGGCATCTACAAGGATACCTCTATCAAGATTTTATGATTTTTAAAAGTTTGGGATAAGTGAATGATAGCTGTGAGCCTCAGTTTTATCAGTCTAGATACAGACTTCCATCTTTGTCCATGTACACCACTTCCCTGCTTAGCATCTGTGACTGTCCCTTGTATTTCAAGTCCAACCACATTGGATTTGAGATTAAGGAGTAGAAGGAATAACCTTTTCTAGTTACTGGACAGGGGTTTTCTCAACTGATGGTTTCCCTTGCTTTCCCACAGATAACTATATTTTGCCCTTTTTCCTAGATCCACTTAAGAAAATATTTCCACAAATAATTTACCATTCCTAATGTCATGCCCAATATTAATAGATAATAGAGATTTTCCAGTTTATTAGAAATGGGTATTGATTAGTTGTTCAGCCAACAGCTTTGATAACCAGTAAATTTTCTGAGGAACAGGACGTTTTCACTGGTGGCTGGAAATGTGATCTGACACATCAGTCCTGCTTTAAAAGGCCACAATGCCTTGTGGTTAGCTGTTTTTGTTTGGCAGGCATAGACAGACTAACTTCTGATGGACTTAAAAATCTTTGGATATTTCAATGTCATCTAAGTAATAAGAAAACTTAACTTCTTGCGGAACAAATAGCCAGAACAAAATGTAGGAAATGCTATATACTGTGTCCCCCTGTTAGTTATTGTTGAACTAAATCAAGTAACTTGCACAGATCACAATGTTATAGAAAGGCAGTAATACTAAAGAATGGTATCAGCTGCAAAAAAAACAAAAAGTAACTTGTTGCATCTTCCAATCAAAAACCAGATTTAGCAAAGAAGTGAGTTTAACCTCCTATGAAAAAAAAGAGAAGCTGGTATTTCCCAATCCGAAGTATGAGAAGTGGATTAAATTATGCACTGAAATTCTTTCCTGCCTCACCCCTTTGTATGCTTGCCCACATCATGTTAGATGGATGATGCAATTTAATAGTCCCATTTATATCATATTTCCATGGGTTTCACTTTTGTCCAACAGTGACTAGGAGGTCTCTTCAGATTATCTGTTGCCTGACCTTCTCCATAGACTTTTAATTGACCTAATCATGATAATTTATTTTTGCTATATCATTTCTGTCTAATGCAGTATACAGCTATCATTATCTGAATCATTATCTGTATTCCAGGTATCTGTCCTACAAAACAAGTTGGAAGGTAGCTGAGAACTTTCCTGCCCTAGAGGAGAAAACCAAATATATATATTTTTAAAGAAGCTGCAAATATTTTCCTCTGGCTGTTTACAGTGTGCGCTTTAACAGGCTTAAACAAAGAGCCTGGCCTGACTAAAGTGTATTGCAGCTTACTGAATCGCCCACATAGGTGGAGCATAAAAATATAATACTTTCTTTAGCATGAGTACATGGGCATGTTTTCCCGGAGATGTCACTTCATTTGTATTCTAACTGCACATATGAAACTTCTTCCTTTTTCAGTTTTTAGATTTTTTCACTTTTCTCTTCCTTTTATTCTGCTTGTTCATGTGTCTGTTTATTCCAGCTGTCTACTGGAGATTTTTGTTATCTACAGGAAAACCAAAGCATTCCTTAAAGAAACGTGCAAATCTTATGATCCTATGTGATTCATCTTATCTTCTCTATCTTTCAGTGGCTATTTCTGAGGGCAGAAATAGAAGTGTGCTCTTTTTCCTTACCCTTCTGGAGTTGGAAGTGCTGCTGAATGAGTGGGTGGGCAGACTTCTGGGTATTTCCCTCCTTCTGTGAATATGACCAGCTTTGTAGGTGAAATCCTGGTGGCTCCTGTGTTGACTGAAAGAATTAGATACTCTGTAAATCTGTGTGAGACTGTCATTCATAATTCCTTGATATTGTCAAGAGCAGGTACAGTATAGTGATGTCTTACAAATGTTAAGGTTAGGCTGTGAGTAAGCTATGGGCTGGGTTCCAAAGCGGTCAGAATTGTCACATCAAGGAAGGATGCTGGTCATTGCTCTGAATTTCCTGTTTATAAGTTAGTGAAAAAGCATAGCACATTAACTTGTAAGGCATTGTGGTTTAATGTATTTATTAGAGGAACAGTTGAATGGCTGAGGAAGGAGTAAGTAGTATGGAGCTGTTTTTTTAAGAAAAACAAACAAACAAAAAAATCTTTGCTTTATTTTTCCCAGTCTGCTCTGGAGTTTATTCACATGGTGTGTCTGCTTCACTGCTACAACCTGAAAGCAACTTCTGATGAGAGTTCAAAGAGGTAACGTGGGAGGCAAAAGCTCTCCTTCCCAGGAGGGGGACAGGTCCTCTGAGAGAGTTAAACTGTTTTCATCAAATCCTGTTGCAAATCTTTATTTATCTACAGTATTTTCTTAACCACGAAGCATGAAAATGTTTGAAACTGATGAGGGAATAGTGATGGTGCTGTGCTTTTTGCAGAGAAGCTGAAACTGCACAGAGATCCTTCTTTATGGGTGATATTAGAGTTTTAACTGCAACATTCCTGGTTTTATGTTCCATTTTTTTTTTCCCAGTTCCATGCTGCCTTTCATTCCTTTATGTAACTGAGCCATTCTTTGAAATTCATCCTCTTTTTTTGTTGGTTAGGTTACGCTGAAATGGCAGATATAGTTGCAAAACTAACTGTTATTTCCTTTCCTGGCTTCTCCATTCCCAGTTTCCCTTGGTTTTCTGGAAATGAAATCCAGAATCTGCTGTTTCCTTGCCCAGCCTATTGTGCAAGGTTCTCACCACATCTGCAGACCTGTTGCTTCACTTACCCTGTTCATGCCCCCCTTCTGGATACAATAATGATTTTATGCCTTGTGTGTCCCATTATAACTAATACTCCGAGTACTTTGTATGCATGTCAGTTCTTCTTGCTCTGTAAAATTCTGCAGTTCTAGCAATGCTGACAGCTGGCAAAGTGTCGTGGAGCACCTTCAGCTGAGATAGAAGTGACATCAGCATTTGGAAGCTAAAGACTCACAGCCTATTTTTTTGTCATGTATTTTTGCAGACTCCTATATGTATCCTGAGCACTTTTAAAATGACTTAGATCCTTCCAAGAAAGAGACAATCCTTAGACGATGGTCCTACAATTCCTTAGAATTCCTCTGTAGTTGAAACTAAAAAGGTCATAACAGTAAAATGTCAAGTAAAGCAATTGAGAGTAACCGAAAGATAAATTCTCAGAGCAACTGAATTTATCCCTCTCATTTGTGAGAGGAAGGGCTATTTTCCTTCTCATTATGTTACAGAAAAGTCCCAGAAGTTGCAGAAAGTGTCATGTTGGGAAAATTAAAACAAGCCATGCCATATATTTTCCTAAGAAAAAAACAGTGCAGCTCAGAATATTAAAGTGCTTATTTATTAACTGTCTTTCCCCAGCATAGCAGTTACTTGAGTTTGTAAAAAAATGTTGTCATAATTCATCTATATTACATTTGTACATATCTGGCAGCTTTTAGTCAAAGGTACTTCTAATAAAGTGTTGACTAAGCAGGAACATTGTTTAACTCTGTCCCTTGTTTCGACAGAGCTGGCAGATGTCTGATGGTGACCTGCATTAAGGTGCTACAGAAGCCTTAGAGCAGGGTGAGGCCATTTGCTACGCTTCACCCACGCTGGTCAGGAATGTGGTTATTGCTTTGCTGTACTGTGATGGTAATGCTGGTATGACAGCATTAGTAAACTTATTCTTTTGAGGTCCAGATCACTTTCTCAGTGCTTCTGCTGTAACAAATCAAGTGACATATAAAACAGTTAGTTATTAAAGTTGTTTAAGTTTGTGCAGTGCCCCAATGAGAAGCTTTTTTAATACAAATTTACTTGCAGAATGACTAAACCTGTACAAATGCATTATTCCCTTGTACTTGTATTTACACATTGTCCATCAAGAGACCTGCAGTATCTTCCTTTTGTGTCTGTGTGGGATTTGGACTCCTCTTCCCCCAGCTCTTTAATCATAAGCATGCAGCTTCAACTGCTTTTTAAGAATAAAGCCATATTTGGGGAAATCTCCATTTGCAAAGCATTTTTGAGCTCTAAATACCATTGACTTTTTCATCGTATATTTATAAATATGGCTCACTTATACATGAATACTGTGGAACCTTCTTAAGCAGACTCCAGATTTTTTGCCTATTGCACACTGCTCTTTCTGTGAGAGATGCCAAGGGATGTCACCCCTTCACTGCACTTGCTCCATCCGTTAAGGGCTGGATCTCCATTGCAGGGGGAATATGCAGACTTCACTGCAGTTTGGCTCTCACCTTTAGGACATAGTCTAGTGAATGTCCCACTATTCCAGTGAGATCTGGTTTTCTCGAGCAAACAAGGCAAGGCCAAGTCACAACTTGTCTGTCTTTGTAAGATCTACCTGAAAGCTGGGTGACACTTGCAGAAGGTGGATGCTGTTAAAAGTTAACTGTAATCTTTGAGTGTCTGCTGTCCATCCCCAAAATGACAGTGTGATGAAATCCCGTGGTATCTTAAAATATTAATTAGTTGTTGGTCTAATAGCTGTGTTTTGGCAACTTGGAATTAGTATGTCTCTCTACAACTGTGTGGTATATCCTACCGTGTTAGTCACTGGCTTTATGCAGGTCTGGGATGCTGCGGTGATGTCTGAGCTGTACAGAGTACAGAGCGTCATTTCACTTGCTATGAGAGGGAGGAGTAGGTTGAGTCAAACTGTTTCATGTGAGTCGTTTCATACAGAATGGTGGCTTTTGGTGGCTCTTGGGTGGGCTGGCTAGGTGGTGTAGTGTGGGGAGGATCCCCCCCCCTTTCGCCCCCCCCCCCCCCCCCCCCAAAATGAAAAAAGCTTCCTCTGTTAAATACATATTGCTTCACTGCAAAATGGGGTAGTGTTGCAGGTGTGGTCTGAAGTCATGTCAGACATAATACCTTATGTTCCAGTCTTTGCCAAAGAATAATTTTTTTCTTCTTTAGAAATCTATGGTAAAGAAGGTTTTCACTATGGTACCCATGGGACAGCGCGGTGTCCTTGGGTCTGTACAAGAGAGAAAGATATCAGCAGTTTGCATTAGAGACTTCACATCTGAGAGGGAAGGATGTAAAGCTATGAATGGAACTGAATGGCCATGATCCATGTATTCCATCATTAATACATTTTTGTATGAAAACACTTGTGAGGAACAGTGTAATTGTATTCAGGTGTGGGTGATTTAGCAGATACTTTTGATCTGCCTCTAGGTAGGTCATGCACAAATCTCTTCTGAAATGCTGTTTGCCTCTAGGAATAAATGGGACATGAACTGTGTAATTGTTTCCCAGCCATGCTGTCAGGCAGCACCCTCCTTAAACATGGAGACATAAGGCACACCTCTCTATCTCTGAGCACCCATCAACATGAATGCAAACAGGTGACACGTAAGCCTCTTGGCTCTGTGCTAAAAAGGTGGTGCTAGAAAAATACTCCTGCTGGAAGTACTATCTCCAGTGTCTCCTAACTATTCCTTTAGCAGTGTTTGGGGTAAGTGGTATACTTACTTTCAGTTGATGTATTTGAGGACTGTCTGATTAAGAGCATGTTCAGATTTCCTGAATTTTGCACTCTGTGTGTGTGTGTGTACACATTTTTATTTGCAGCTCAATGTTTTGGTTTGTTTTTTTTTGGCTTGTGTTTTCATTTATTCATCTCTTTGTGCTGCCTTCCTTTTTCCTTCTCCCCTCCATCTGCTCTGTAGCAGCACAGGAGTTTCATGTTTTGTGCAAGGCCAGTTCAGAAAGCATATTTCCCGTCCCCATACTGCACAGGGGAAATCATGCATGCCAAGCCAATTTTCTTAATTTATACAGGAGCAACATTGCCATAGTCTTGAATGTTTTATCACACAATAGGTTTGTGATATTTGTGTCCTGAAGGCAAAAATACAAGCCTGTTAACGTTGATGCCTGTTAATGTGAAAGAACCATGGACTAGAAAATCCACTGAACAAGAGCAGCACTCGCTTTGCAGAGCATCCCTTCTTGGCAAGCCATGGTCCGGACATGTGTGTATCTGGAGGCTCCAGAGCAGCAGCTGTACAGGCACAGCTTAAGTGATGGCTGCAGAGGTCCTGTCAGCAATGGAAAAGGCCAGTGGAGTTTTCCCAGCACTTGCTCGAAACCCCTGTCCATCTGCATGCTAGGTGAAGTGCAAATCCAGAGCTGAATGGGATTTAAGGAGGGCTTTACAAAAGGCCAAACCCTGAAGAGTTTGGTCTGGAGCCTAAAACTGTGTCCACTGGTGAAATTTTTCAGCCAAGGAGTTCTTACTCTTAGAAGCAACATTTGGGAATGAATTCAGATTTTTTTTTTTTTTTTCTTTTGGTCACACTGATGAATTCTAATTGTATCATCAATTTTTTCTGATTTTTTCTTTTCTGCCTCCCACTCTCTTGATACACGAGGTATAAAAATGTGGAAGGAAAGACAGGAAGGTGTGAAGCTATGAAGCCTAACTGTAAAAGAAGTAAAACTGGAAGGAAGAAATAGGATGGGTTTTTAGTAACAGGGCCATGACTTTTAAAACTCCACAGCAGTTTTTGCTATGAATATACTTTGCTGTGAATATATTCTTATTTCTGTTACGCAGAGCTGGATGTGTCTGGGCACTAGGACTGCAGGTCTCAGAATTAGAGGGTGGAGATCACTTTCTAAATATTTGTACAGGGAGGAGGACAGGGCTTGAAACTGCTATGAAAATAGCTCTTTGCATGTCTCCAAGGATAGGTTAACTGTTCAGGGTTTCACAAGAACCACTCCCTGGAGATATTTGAATAATAGATTGACATTATGGGGTGCAGTGAAAGGTGTGTGCATTTCAAAAGCCTTAGGAAAAATTTCCTTCTTAAGCAAATCCTTTAGAAGGCATTTTTATGACCTTCCTGTGAAGGGCTCCTAGTCCTCTATCAGTCATTTGCAAATTGTTTACCAGCCTTACAGAGAATTGAGAATTCAGGCTTAAGTGTTCCAAATGACGTGGTGTGTTTGTCCAAACAGATAGTCTACAAATCAGATATGACGCTAGGAATACCTTTAGGTTTTACATCCCCAAGGTCTGACCTTGACCTTTTTGTTTTCACCAGAGCTTTCACCCAGCTCTGTCCAGTGGAAGGGTGCAGCTGAACCCTAACAGTTTCTTACAGCTCCAAGTACGAGCTGTAGCATCCTTTCTTCCTCTGTAAGGTCTCACACAGGACACATGATAAATTATCTTTCTTACAACAGAAATTAGCAGCACTATAATTTGTATTTGTTATTAAAAATGTTCTGTATACCTATAGCTAGCTGACAAAATACCAACAAGACAAAGCAAATACTTTTGTACAGGTGGACAGCATAGTAAAAGACATGAAGCTATCTTGTCTTTATATAATAGACTGGCCCTAAGATTTGCATTTAAGCCTTTTTGAGCAACAATTTATTTAAGAGTATTGAAGCTGAAAGAACATGTACTTGAGCAGAGGGGGAGCTTAAAAAGCCCTTTGCCCTTGGAGAACATCTGAGTGTGAAAGAAACATCATATACAAGATGGAAGTTTAAATCAAATCCATTCTTTAGTAAAAACCTCCTTGTTTGCTTTGTAAAATATTTCTCCCTTCTAGTGCATTTCAATGAAAAGATTTTGTAGAGCTACAAGGTAGGTGATCTGATTTTACTTTTTTTTTTTTTGCCCAGCAGGGTGGAGGATTTGTAAAACAAAACAAAAACTCCAAAGCACCTCTTGCTGGTATGTGTGAATGTGTCCAATGGATAAGAACTTTTAATTTCTCACAAAAATGTTCTTGCATCCCTGTGTGGCTGCCTGTTCAACTTGCTTACTTGAATATGCCGTTCTTTCAGACCTGTGTGGTGGATGTAGGTCTGCAGTAGTTGTGTATTTATGTCAAAAGCTCACCGATAACTGTTACTGTGGGTTTTTCTTGTTTCAGTCTTCTACTCTATTGCAAGACTCTGTATTGAAACACAACAGTGGAAAGTGAATTAGCTGGCTGTTGCATGGTAGTGAGTGTAAACTCTGTCACCTAAAACCCCTTTCTTGCAAGGTTTTACTGTCATTGATGGCATAATGTAAAATATGCCCTGGCTGGGGGAAGGGAGACTTCAAAACTGGAAATGGCAAAAAAGTGTCAGATACTTTCCACTCGCTCTTCAGTTGGAGGGTGTCAGGGTGTAAATCTGACCATTGTCTGCGTTTGGTCGTGGTAAGTCCAGCCATGGCTAAGTTGACTAATCACGGTTCTGTCTTGTAACCAAGAGCAGTACTAATATAAAGTTGAAACTTTAAAGATAGTTATGGTTTTAGCTTAATGGTGGTGACTGACATCCACATACCTGAGATATGGAGTTTGTTCCAAGCCTCAAGCTGTAAATTGATATTCAATAAATGAATTGGTGGTTTGCCATTGATGCAAACTACTGCACTGTTTGACCTGAAGTGAATAATTTTATCTAATTTAAGCTACAGATAGTTCCACAAATACTTATTTATAGTTGAAACAGCAATTTTACTTTTTTTATTATTGTTTCTTCATTTTATTTCATCTATCTAATTTTTTGTATTTTTATATCTATTTCTCTCATTCATAAGAGGCAATTTAATGCCAGTTTTATGTTGCTTTTAGAATGATTATTTTAGGTTTATCTTTTCATGTTCATGTCTTTGAACACAACATAAGGCAGCTCTCTACTATTTGTTTTGGGGGATGAGAGTCTCAGTAGCTACTCAACAGGAAAATACTAGTGCACTTACATCAGTTTCTCTAGTATACATGAGACTTGCCAGTGTTTTTTGTTATACATTCTAGCTGTTACTGCGCTTTGATCAGACTATATCTAATATGGTTATTTTTTCAAAGGCACAAAAAGAATAGAGAGAAATTTCTTACATGTGTACAGGCCATGGGAAAATGTGTGTGTTGTTTAATGGCAATTCAGGGTCAAGTTTTAGTTTAAATGATTAACTAGCATCATGATAAAAACTTCAAAAACTGAAAATTGGTCCTCTAAACAAAACAAATCAAAAAAACCCAACAAAATGTTGCTTGGTTATTTTTTTTTTCCTCGTATGAAAAATCTTTTCAAGACTGAAAAATAGCTATTACTGTAGAAAATGATTGTCATTTTTATTTAAATATAGTGGACAGTCTCAATTGGTTTTTTTTTGCATATGTTAATGTCACAGTGAATGTGAGGTCAGAATTACATTGCTGTTATGTTTACATAGCTTCTGCCAGGTTCCATGCAGATTAAAAACAGTTCTTCAGTTCATGTTCCAGATGTCTAGAATACTTTGACCTTCATTTCCAGTCTTTTCTGAAGAAGTTAAAATTGTGTTGCCTTCTTTTTCTAGTAAGAGGAATGTAATAAAATTAATTATGCACTTCTTCAGGCACAGCTGAATTTGATATTGAAAATCGGCATAATTGAGAGTTTAAGGTGAAACCACTGTAAAAGAGTACTGAACTGGTCCCACTGCTGAATGTTTTGTAGTTCAAATAGTGATTTGTATTTTAAAGATTTGTCAAAAGAAGCCTTGGCAGAGTTGTTGACCAACTAATCCTTTTTGTTTTGCTTTTTAAGGTGTCTTCTGAATTCTCACTATGTCTGATGGAGACTATGATTACCTCATAAAATTTTTAGCACTCGGTGATTCTGGAGTAGGAAAGACCAGCCTTCTTTACCAATATACGGATGGCAAATTTAATTCCAAATTTATCACAACGGTCGGCATTGACTTTCGGGAAAAGAGAGTGGTGAGTTTTCACAAACAGTGTGCTAGTTTAAGATGGTGTCTGTCTTGGTGATGGCTAGAATCTATTTTTTAAAAATCTGACCTGCTGATACTTATGTGTAGCCGTGCAATTAATAGTTACTGTGTACTTAATCTTGTGACAAGGAAATGATTTCATTTTACCTGGTTATTTTTGTTGTTGGTGTGTGTTTTCCCCACAAAGTTAGAGGAGCTGATTCTAAGCAACCTCTTATTTAGTGCTCAGCAAGTGTTGATGAGTGTATCTACTCTGTGAATTGTGCACATAGTACCTGGGGTAGGGCTTTTATTGTTGAACTCTGTTTAAGGATTGGGCTGTAGTAAAAATGGTTTTGCTGTTTGTGAACTGAAATGGCTGGTGAACAAAGACTGCAATGTTGATTTTAAAATGTGAATGAAATTGAATAGCATGATACATGGAGCTGATCTGGCTTCCTAAGCAGTTACCACTACCAGAGAAGAATTGTGAAAACTAAGGTAGGTGGGTTTTGATTTGGTGTTTTTTTGTTTTGTTTTGTGTTTTTTTTTTTGTTTTGTTTTGTTCTGTTTGTTTTTCCTGACTCCTGAATTGTTACTAAACTAGGCAGATGTACTTTTGATATGAACCTGAGCCCATAACCGATTGGATGCTGGTCCTTACTGCATTGAGAAATTGAGTAGGCACAAGTTTTTTTAAATTCTTATGTAGAAGTATTAAATGCCTATCAGTGCAGTCTGATTTCCCAAGTGTCCATAAATCTGGATGGTGTAATGGGCATTGTGCACACTGACTTTTATTGTATGACATGCACCACAGTAATGCAGGGAGTAAATATCTTAAATGTGAAAATGGTCTCTCGAATGTTAGTATTCCTTTTGTGGAATAGTAAACATGGTGGGTTTATTTATCAGCATATTTGATAACTCAGGATAAGATTTAAGTTTCACAACCTGATTCATATAATCCACAAATTCATCAATTTTATGTGTCTCTAAAGATATGTTTATAACTCTGGTAACATTAGGTACAACAACAGTGAAGGTAAAGAAGATGACCCTATATGGAGCGTTCTAAACAAGAAATTAGTTTATTTTTATCTGCTCCTTCCAAAGCTAACAGAGGCCCTTATTTATATTTTCATCTTGAATAAACTCTTCAGATTTTATTATTATAATCCAATTTCTGCTTTTTAAACTATGATATGATAAGATCTACCCTCAGCTCTTTTTTAGCAGTCTTTTGGCAACTAAGAAGAGATATCATTATCTTTGAGTATATTCTGTTTTGCTAATGAGTTTCTGTTAGGTGTACAAATATATTGCCACATTTCATGATATGACTGTTCTTTCTTAAAATTAATATTTTAATTTGAACACAATACAAGATAATAGCAAAAATTAGAAAATCAAAATACTAAAATTAAGCTTGTCTAATGAAACTTAATGGTCACTCTAAATATCTGTTTGGAGTCCCTGGCCTATTGGATACTGTTTTTACAGTTTCACTTTTAGCCTTATTTTAAATATTCAATTGGATGAAAAATTAAAATGCAACCTGTATTACTTTTGTCTTATAAAGCAGAGAGATTGAGCTGTATTTGGGATCTTTGCATGGTCAATGCTAGTTTTGCTACATTTAATGAATTTAAATGTCAGTTATTTTGTGTTCTATAGAGGCTGGACTGCTAACACTCATTCTTACAAATTTGTCTTTTACAGGTGTACAGACCCAATGGGCCAGATGGCATTGGTGGCAGAGGACAGAGGATACACCTTCAGCTCTGGGATACTGCTGGGCAAGAAAGGTATGTTCTACCCACACCTAGAAAGTAAAGCAGTTGTCATCAAGCTAGATGCAAATGAAACCAAGTACACGAATTCCCTTTATTGGTTGTTACATTTTAATTGCATGACTCAAGATGGAAAAGTGCACTTACTTTGACAGTGATGGAAAGTGTCCTATGAATACCCATTAAATTACAACTGTAATTTATACCTGTAAAACATTAAAACTCTAATTGTTGCTTTTTGTCTTTTGGAAACTCTCAGTTTATTTTTTCATGGCCAATGCATATAGATGCTTTTAAAGCTTTTTTTTTTTTTTTTTTTTTAACCCTTAAATTTCTGTAAATATGTTTAGGTCTTGGGAAAGTCAGACAGGTGAAATCACCTCAAAGAATTATTTTCTATTTGTCTATCAAAAGACTAATATCCTTGTGGTTGATAGTCTTAAAATCAAGAACTGATGTGTATAGGGAACAAATCTCTGCTCAAAGTTTGAATTTCATTCTTATTTTAATTTCTGAATCTTGATTGAGTCATGCTTTATAGTAGAAGACTGCCTAAAGCTCTCATGCTTGAGTGAAATGTCTCCTTGACTTACTTAGGCCTTGATTAGACCATAGTAACGTTAGCAGTTCTTGTTACACAGTCCCTACATCAGCAAAACAATTATGATTAATATTTCATTCTAGTTAATTCAGTCTTAAATTACCTCAGTTTTCTGACTGTATGCAATTATATTTTCAAAGTAACTTGACAGATGAGCCAACTAATTTTACATTGCTGGTTCAGGTTTCGTAGCTTGACAACAGCTTTCTTCAGAGATGCCATGGGGTTTCTTCTACTCTTTGATCTGACAAATGAGCAAAGCTTTCTGAATGTCAGGAACTGGATAAGTATGGCATTTCTTTGCTTTTTTTTTATTTCTTTTTTTGCATGGGCAGGGAGGAGGCTGTGTTTGTAAATATGGAGTCTCACTACTAAATAGAATGGAAAATATTAGTTTTTACAGCTTTCTGAGTAAAAGAAGGTAAATGTTGCATTTATAAGTGTAATAACTGGTAGTGGTGACTTCTAGTGTTTGCCTGAAATTCAGCTTTGCCTACTGAACTTGAATCTTAACCTATATGAAAGCAAGCCAGGAAAACGTCATATCCCTGGCTCTGGTGATACTCAGTAATGTAAGTGTGTGGAAAGCCTATGCAAAACTCTGTTCTGACTGATGTGAAGCTTTGTCAGCAACACCTAATGGAAGGCAAATGTTATGAGGCTGGTGTATCTAGGTGAAGGAGTTCCCAAACTGCATCATCCATCAGGAGAGGGAAGTATATTCCTTCCTGGCAGCTCACTGAAGATGCTTGGTGAGCATAACTCAAGCTACAAATACACACCTTCTATGTTTACTTTGTCAGGCTTCTTCTCCCCTGTCTTGTTCCCTGGCTTTTTCACTGGGTACATGATAGTGGATGTCCACCTGTTCTCTGGCTCCTCAGTGCAGTAGCAGAAGTTCTGAAATAACAGAGAACATACTTGTTTTCTGTCTTTCAAAGAGTCATTTTCCTGAAGGATTTGTGTCCCCTGAAATGCAGTAGTAGTGTTCTTAGTGATCTTTATGTGTGACAGTAAGTTGTGACCCGTATTCATGTTGTTGCTGTTAGGTCAGCTGCAAATGCATGCATATTGTGAAAACCCTGACATTGTATTATGTGGAAACAAGAGTGATCTGGAAGACCAAAGAATGGTGAAAGAAGAAGAGGCTAAGGAACTTGCAGAAAAATATGGGTAAGTAACTTCTTCCAATTATTGCTGTGTTTAAAGTGGAATTAAATGTTTTCTGTAATGCCTTTTCTGTATACTGAAAGGTTATTGTGAGAATAAGCATTTCAGAATGCTTAACTGGCTGGTATGATATCTTTTTTTCTGCCAGAGATTAACGTTTTCTGTATTGTCTAAAAGTTCATACTTAGTATTGCAATAATCCTGCACTGGAGATTGGTTAATCAACCTCTTTCCTCAGCAGTAAGCAAAGTAAATTTTCACAAACATTTTGGAAAAGAGAATTTAGCTGGAGAGGCAGATGAATGATGGGGGTCTAGTTCTTTGCTGTTGCCTGTGCTGAGGCTTTCTGTGGGGCACAGAGAACGCAGGTCTCTTATGAAGTGAAATCCAAAAGAGCATTTGGTGAGGTGATGAGTGTCACATCAGATTTTGAGAAAACAAAAATAATACCGAGCAATAATATCTTAATTTACAAACTGAGTTGTTTTACTAAAGTTTGTTGTAGGGCAGCCTACAACCTGGTTGTCTCTGGCATGGCCATGGAAACATGTGGCCTCAGTTTCTTTGAGAGCCTTGAGACCCATTCACCAGTGTTCAGAGAGTCTGCTTGCAGAGTCCTGGGTTCCCGTGGAAGAGCAGTTCTGCCTCAGACCCTGGTTCCCCAGTTCTCTGCCCTCTCCCCATTCAATCTTCTCTCAACTGTTTAAGCAGTTTTGCTAGGACTGTACCATAGGTGAATTCATAGTGACTTAGCGTCAAAGAGGCCAACTGTGTTTTCTTGCAGGCATCTGCACTCTCACAGACTCCCAGGGAGTCTGAAAACCAAGTCAGATCAGCAGGAAAACAGGGTAGCCTTGCCCTTCCCCTTCCCTACAGGAACAGGTCATGCATCCCTAAGGGAACTGTGTGAAATCTTTATTCCTACCAGATAGTAATTAATCCCGTAGTACTCCTGCACCCCCTTAACTATTCCATGGGTCTCATCTCTGGATTACATTTGCATCAGTGTGCATCAAAAGTGCACTTTTGAAGCAAATATTCTGATCCATTTATTGTAGTTTGATTCAGGTAGTGGAGCAGCTTTCTATCATGTGAACTGAATTCCTTCTCAGATGAAAACTAAACTAGATTATGTGCTCCAGCCAGTAATCTGCGTTAAATCCAGAGGAAGAGATTAGAGCTGGTCCAAAGTAAAGCCCAGAAAACGTGCATAGTGTGAACACAAGGTCCTCAGTGCTAACTGCTGTGTTCTGCAGGTCTAGTCCTGTTGTGCCATGCTATTTCTTATCGTAGTCACAAATTAGCTTTCCTTGTCCTTGAAGAATCACTGGAAGCAAATCAGAAGCAATCTGTCTGTTAGAGACAAGTGGGTTTAGTGCAGTATTACCTTCTTACCTTTTCCTTCTCCTATGAAAATGCTTGAAGTCCATGTCACACAGACAACAGCAAGTGCATACGGTAGTTGCTTGTGAAGGAACAAAAACTTTTAAAGAGCAGCAGATGGCACACGTCCATTTCTTAAAGATTTGAAAGATATCTCTTTGCATGCAACTTCTGGAAATAATTTATTAAATGTTTATCTTTGTGGCTGAAAATAACAATTTAGGAATAAGGGGTTAAAAGTCAAAGTTATAGATCATGTTTAATCAACGGGCAGTTACAAAATTCTCTGCCCTGTAGAGATGAGACAGGATAGCTGCTAGTAGTCATTTAGTCCTGAAGGGAAGCAAGATAAATCCTGCTGCAGCAAACAGTCTTCTGGTAACAAAAGTGTGAGATAGTGAATATTGTCTTTCTGTGGAAAGGCCTTGTACTGGTAAGTGGTGTATTTTGAAAATTACTGCAGACGACCTACACACTTAAGACAGTAAGATAATATTATGACCACTCATTGAATCTTGCAAGATAATTAAGAAATACTTAAAATTATGAAGTGATTATATCTGTCACTTGGGGAGTAACACTAATGTAGCACCACTCTGTGGGGAGCACTGAGCACAGACAGTTGAAGCCTACAGACCCGCCTTTGAAACTTCCTGATCTACAACAATAACGAAAACTAGCAGTGTACTTTCAGTACCAAGGTGCCTAGAAAGTTTTGTTAACAAAGACATAGGTGGTCTGAGCACTGAGATTTATTTATTTATTTATTTATTTTTTTCATGTAAGAGAGTTTATAGTTGAGGTGTCAACAGAAGAAACACTTTTGTAGTGATAAGAGTACCACATCAGGAGTCTTTACTGCCTTGCCAGCAGGGGAACATTCCATGCTAGTGTTTTCTATCTTGCAACAACTCCCTAGCTGATGTAGATAGAAATCACTAAGGAGAAGACTTATGCGCACAAGGCCATATAAAGTAATTGCATCTTTTTTCAGGGAACGGAGCTGAAAAAAACAGACCTCTGGAGCATAACTTTGGGAACTCATACTGACCAGTGCCTCTGTAAATTGTGGATTCCACGATGTAAATTAAAGCTTATCCTTCTGCTCTACCTACGGAGTCAGCCATTTCATTAATTTCTTTTGCATTTCAGAGCACTGACCATTTAGCGTCTTTCTGCTATGAAGTAGCAGTAACAATGTTTGTGTGATTTCTAAGTATGTGGCAGTAAACATGTATTGGTTTTTCTCCTATGAATATAAACCATGTGATGTAAGTTTGTGGTTTTTGTCTTCTGCAGAATACCGTATTTTGAAACCAGTGCAGCTAATGGGAATAATGTAAGCAAAGCCATTGAAACTCTGCTCGACCTCATTATGAAGCGCATGGAACGGTGTGTGGATAAATCCTGGATCCCAGAAGGGGTAGTGCGCTCCAATGGGCACAGCTCTACAGAACAACTGAATGAGGAGCAAGAAAAAGGCAAATGTGGCTGTTAACTCAGTTACAACTAAGTTTCATGTATATGATATAGTACAGTTGTGGCTTAACTGTTTAACTTATGGGCAAATAACATCGTGTAGTTATTTAATGAGCTATATTAATTTTCAGGTTTTTCCTCAAACAACATTGACCTTTGCTTGCAAGGTATGCAGTTTATTAATAATGGGACAGAGGTTTAGTTTGGTGTAGGACTGGGTATTTCTCTAACTTTCTACTTTGGAGGGAAGAGGAGAGGAATTTTCATTACCAAATTTAGAAACATCTCTCTGTGGGCAGTGAGAAAGGTTATGCTTCTGAATTGAAGGATTTTCAGTTGCCCTTTGAAGGCTCTATTAACTGCACGGATGAGGCATTTAGGTTATGTGCCGTGACAGCTCTCTTAGTCTCTACTAACAGCAAGCTTACCAACATGGTTCTTGGTTTTGAACAGAATCACTTAATCTTTTCATCAATCAATAACATTCTTAAAGAGCAAGTCCTGTGTTTTCCAGAAAAGCCTGCGAGTAGCTTTTCCTTGCTCCTTCAAACCATCAGTTTTTAGTGATGAAAACCAAAAGGAAGCTATTCTATATAGAATAAAAAACTACAGAGAAGCACAGGAGTTCATACATAGAGCACTTTGGATATGTCATGAAATTGAATATGTAAACTACAACTGTACTATATAAAATACATACAACACAGCCTATGAGACCTCCTGACATCATTTGAATTTCTAGAACATGAATATACATACATTTATCAGTAAATGGCATAACTGTACATCTGTTATATTTCTTTTATGTTACCACTCATGTTTTAATAGGAATGTAGGGCATACCTAGATGTGAGCAAAATTTCATCAGAGCTAGTGCTTTGCACTGAACTTGTTTTAGCAAACACCGATTTGGAATATTTTTTCAAATTTGGATTGAAAAATGAATGATGATTGTTTTCTGGTGAGATGCAGCTAAGATACCAGTTCTGTCTAGATCAGTACTTCTATAAATCTATAATGTCTATTTTATTCTGCCAACCTTTGTGTCCTGTATGTCTTGGTTATCATATATTCATTTATGGCTTGTTAATTTCGTTAGGTTGTTTTTAAAAAAGAATTGCTACTTCTTTTTTTCCCCCTAGGGATCACAGAAATGTCAGTTTTGGTTTCCATGGATCATGTTACTCTTTGATCATTTTTATTTATTGATAGAACCTAAGGAACAATCAGTATTTTTTGGGTCATTTTCCAGACTGATTTATAAGATGTGCCTCCTAAACTCTTTTCTACCCTGGCAGAGGTTGTATAACTGTAAAGTATTGCCAATTAAAGTCTTAACATGCCAAATCTTGTTACAGACTTTCAACAGCAGTTTGTTTACAAAACTCCAAAGCTATTATTTCTTTAAAATTTTGTATTTATTTAATTAAATATGCTAACTACTGCAATTTCAGGCAAGCATTGATACCAGTTGTGAACGTGAACTGCAGCATGACATTTTCTGAAGGACCAAAAATGTTTCTAGAATAGGAGCTAATAAAAAAAAATTATATACTTGATGTAGCTTCTGATTATAGTAATAATACAAGAATAAGTGTTAAAACTTGGTTCTTAAAATATTTTACAAAGTAATGCATTGTTCCTTAACAAACACAATATGTAAATATTAGATTTTTATCACAGCCTACACACAATATTTTAAAAGTGCAATATAATTTGACTGCTCTGGGGCTAGGACAGAGATGAAAGCAATTTATATTGAATAAATAGAGGGTTTTTTTCCTGCTATACAATACCAAGATTCTAAAATGCTTGTGGACCAGAGTTACTGTAGTTTAACTCAGAGTGCCTTTTGAAGTTACCATCATGTTTCTGACCAGTGGAGTATCAAACTCTACTGTAGGACACAGTACATTTCAGTGTACTTCAGTGTCCAAATTTCTTTTAATGTAACTCTTTGCTTTTCAGAGGGTTACAGTGGAACTTTGTCATGTATTAACTTTAATGGGAGTTTTTGTGCTTATAGCTCCATCTAGTTCCTGAAAATATTGATTATTGCAACCAACTACTGAGCTAAGTGACTGCTGAAATGGTGTAAAAATACTGTATTTTGAATACTTATGTTTAGATTGGATATTGGATATTAAATACGAAAACTGTCATATTTTTTCATGCATATTACATGTAACTATTTAGTGTATAAAGACAGATAGCCTTTGAAATGTGCCATAAGATTTATTTGTTTGAATTATTCTGTGACAAAACTTTTGTTCCTTTTTTAACTCTTATGAGAAATCACGATAAATGTTCCTTGACAGTGAATTACACTATTCTTGCTATTCTAGTACTGTTTTAAAAAAAAACCCAAACAAATAAATGGAGAATTCTCATGTGATGAGAAACTGTTATTTCAAGAGAAGTTGTTTCCATACAGTGTCAGGTGAAAATGTTGATCTGTAATGGAACAAAGTTCTGGAAAGGATTTCCATTATGATGCTTCGTCCCAGGATTTATTTTTAATATAAAATAATGAAACATTCCTGATCTGAACCTTGTCAGCATTTGTTGAACTGAACTGTAACATTTCCTGTTGTCTCAGTATAATATCAGTCTGTATTCTTCTGCACTTTCCCTATGCATTGTGTCTTTTTTAGTTCAAATGTGTCTTAAGTTCTCATCTGTGGCCTAGGTACTACTTGATCTTCCTCTCTTGCACTGACCAAACCAGTTGGATGGTGGCCTGATGCATCCTGGGTGATGCCAGAAGGAGCTCAAACCCATAGAAGAAAACAGAGGCAACACTTCTGTATTCGTAAGATGTTCAGAAAGCTGCGAATGTGAGCATGTAGCATGTTCAGAGCAGAGGGAATCAAGCAATATGTTTTGTAAAATCTATTGCTTCTACAAAGGTATGGAGCCTATTTTTTCAGAATAGCTGCTTCCATCAAGAGCAGTATAGATTACCAGGTAGGTTTTGATATGCTGGAGGACACAGCTGTTCTTCAGAGGTTCCTTGACAGGCAAGAGAAATGGGCTGAGTTAAAGCTCATTAACAAGGGCAAGTATGACTGGGTATTCCATCTAGATTGGAATATCCCCATGCAGTAGTACTGGCTCAAAAATCATTTTGCAGAAAAGGGGATGGGCATCCTGTTCAAAAGCAGGTTGGCCAGGAGCCAGAAATGTGCCCTTGTGGCAAAGAAAGGCCATCTGCATCTGGGGCTGCATTAGTAAAATGAAGCCAGCAGGTTGAGAAAGTAAGTCTTCCTTTACATTCAGTAATTATAAGATTGCATCTGGTGTTCTGTGTCCTGTTTTGGACACCCCAGTGGAAGAAAGACATTGACATGCAGTGAATCCAGCAGATGCCACAAAGAGGAGAGGGCTGGAGCACGGGCGGTAGGAGGAGGGAGAACTGGGTTTGCTTAGTTTTAAGAAGAGAAAGCTAAGGGAGACCTTTCTGCTGTCTTGAACTATCTAATGGGAGGGTATACAGAAGATGGAGCCAGACCTATCTCAGAGGGATAGTAAAGAGGCAACAGAGAAAAGTTGGTGTGTAGAAAATTCTGATTAGACATTAGGAAGAAATTGTCACCATACAATTAGTCAGAAATTGGAACTGGAGCTGAGGAAGGTTATGGAATCTCCATCCTTGAAGACACTAAAAACTCAACTGGATGTGGCCCTGAGCCACCTGGTGTTAATTTGTCCTGCTCTGAGCAAGACTTCAGTTTAGATGCCCTCTAGAAGTGACTTCCAACCAAAATGATTATATGCTCTGTGAATCTGATCCTACAAGTGCACGTCTGACAGTTCTTTTATATGACTCTATATGACAGTTTATATGAATTGTATGTGACAGTTCTTTTACTTCTATTAGGAAACTTGGACAAGTACATAAATATTTGCAAACCAGAACTTTGCTCTGAGTTTAAGGTATTGAGTTGTTTGGTGAAACAGTTCTTGCTGTGGTAATCTCTGTCAAAAATCAGACAAATGAGCCACTCAGTTTGCAAAACCTCTTCTTCCAGTGAGGCTGTTTGTCAGCTGGATACCTAATTCTGTCTGTGAGTAACTTAATGGAGTAGAACTACCTGGGTTTTTTGATAATTAAGCTGGGTTCTGGTTCCAGCAATCTTCAATCTGTATTGCCTTTTAGGTCAGAAATAAGCACTTAAAATCCACAACATAATGGCTTGTAGTTGAAGAGATTAGTGCCTTGATATGAAAAACAGAGGGAGGGGGAAAAAAATCCAATTGTAAATGCTTGTAGTATCCCTGTGCTCTCACATCCCATATGTCTGCTGGAGGCGGTGACAGTCTGTAATCCACAGGGTTTAAACTGTAGAAGCCACAAAAGACTTCACAATACAGTACTCTGCCAGGAAAAAGCTGTCTTCAGTGAAATAAATTCAGCTCATGGGGAAAAAAGTCACATGGGTAGGAAACTCAAAGTAATCAAACTGAAAAAGAAGGATTGCAATTGCATACACCAAAGCACAGCAGCCCTAGACCTAAGCAATCTTGTTTACTATTTGGTTTTGCCTGTAGCTGTAAACTTGGTATCTTCATAGCTTCCCTCATAAAATTGCTTTGTTTTATGTATCTCTACTATTTCCTCTTATCAGCTGGGTTGCCATCTTCTGTCACAGCCACAGTGCCTTCCCCCTGGCGTGCAACATGAGACTAACTAATACCCTGTACAGTCCTATCTTGCTCTCTGTCTCTGAGTCAGTTCAGAGCTGTTTTTCCTTAGGGCTGGGGGTGAGTGCTAGTTGCCAGTCATATGCTCTAGCCTCTGTCTCCTGCAATAGGATGTGGCTGAGGTCTGGTTTTCAAACGGATTGGAGACAAGTTCTGTGCTGATAAGATTAGTGACTCTACTGTGCTAAAGCAATTTTTTTTCTTCCTTCCATCATTTTTAATATACCCCCAAGCTGGCTGCCTTTTTTGTTCTAGAAACCAGAAAGCAAAAACTGCCCCAAAGACACATGCAATTCAACACATGGATTTTTCACCAAATACTCAGATAACTAATTTTTTTTAAATGGAGAAGCAGGAATTGTGGTGCTAAAGTGTTACATGGTGATGAAGATTTCACTTATGGTGAGCTGGGATGTCATCCTAAGATTGAAGAACAGAGGGGAGACCCTGTCCAATTCCAATCAATCTAGGAAGGTACAGGGCCTAGCTTTTAGGTCCTTTCACAATAAACAGGTAACTTCAGGAGAGGGAACAGGAGTAAGAGGTTCTTCAGAGTAATGTGTGCAGAGCCACAGGTTTTAGACAGTACTTCAAATTTTGTTTTTAAATTTAACTCCCCTGTAGAAGACTTGGATCTTACAAATATGTAAATGGAACAGAAAGTGATTTGCCTGAAGTTTAATCAACTGTAGATTTAAAATCGATGTCTGACTCCCTTCCTTTCCTTGGGTTACTGTCTCTATCCTTATGTTAATACTGAGCCATTTCAGCTTCATTTTTCACACTTAAAACAATATTTTGCATTTATATTGAGAAGCCAGAGGGCATCAAACACAAGCTGATCACAAAATCTTTTAATTTGTATTTAATTTCCATACTAAGATATAAATGTATGTTTCAGCGAAGTGGAGGGTCATTTAGGAAAGAGAAAAGGCAGCTTACTTTTGAAGATGCAGTGTTGTCTAATAGTTCATCCCAACTTCTTTTCTTTGTATGGGTTGCTTTTTTGAGTTTAATACTTTAATGAGCATGACTGTATCTCAGCTTTCAACAGGATTTTTTCTGGTCAAATCAAAGGACAGATCATGCTCTCGATAGTGTATTGCAGTTAGCGTGCATGTGGCTGATCTGTATATCCAGTGAGTGAGTGTAGCATGTTTGTGATTCTTGGCCTGTGCTTTCGTAGATACTCTTCTCACCCTTTCCCCCCCAGTAACCTGTTTATGTAATGATTTAGAAACTGTGGCTCCTATCAGCCAATAAATGGAGCTTTCTTTTAACTTCAAAGAAAGCAGAGCAATGAGAACTTCCACACAAACGATAGTCTCGGCATTGTTCATATGGTAGCCTTGTGGCCCAGTTTCTAATTTTTGGAGCAATAATCTCTTCCACATTTTATATATGACTGATCTGTTTTATTTTTATTAAGAGATTTTGCTACGGCATATAGTAAGTCTCATGGTCCTACCTGTATTTCACAATGGTTAAAACCTGCCAAAGAAATTAAGATGGATTTGAAAAGCTTATGCTACTCTAGAGTCAAATCTAAACCAAAATCCCTGAATTAAAAAATGACACATTATTCCAGAATCCTTGGGAGGGAATGTGTCCTGGAACATGCTTGTTTTGGGGACGTTAAGGGTCAGTCCTGTATGGTGCTCTAAAGAGGTTTACGTCCAGCAGGAGCTGTCTTTCCCATTTCCCACTCAGTCTGGCAGAGACCGCATCAGAGGAGTAGCTCTATCCGGTGTCTTCAACCACACTCAGCAAAAGGAGCTCTTTGTTTTTCACATAGACCTTACGCGACACATTTTACAGGACTCTTGGGGACATTGCTTTATTTCTGGTTGCTGGCTTCTTCATAGGGTAGGCTGCTTAGATGCCTATAGCATGTGACAGGAGCACTACTGCTCTCCCATTGCTCACTGCGGGTGTGAGGAGAGGCTTCCACAGCCCCTGATACACTTGGAAATGCTGTTTTCCAGCGAGTCGCTTGTGAGGGGAGATGCCACTGGCGTGTTGTACTTCTTGGTGCCCCACGAGTTGTTTGGGGCCCTGGGGCTGGGCTGGCCGCCGGCTCCTGTGCTGCATCACCAACCTCCCACCGGCGGAGCAGGTTCTCCAATACCCTGAATGCTGCTGCCTCAACACTGACACGACGTGAAATGATCTACCATCTCTGCCTGCGCGCCTGCCTCGCTGCGGGCTGTCTCCCCGCCACCTGCTGTGACTCCCGTCGGGCCGGCCGGGTCGGGAACCCGGAGCGAGCACTTGCTTGTCGCCAGCCAGGTGCCTGTGCCGGGGCTCCCGGTTAGCAGTGGCCGCCGTTAACGACCGCGGGAACCGACTCCCCCTCTCCGCGGAGGGGTGGGCGGGGCGTCGGGGAGCGTCTGCGCCTGCGCCCTCTCCCGCGGCGCTTTGGCGCCCCGCGGCCGGCAGGGGGCGCCTTGCCCGCTCTCCCGGGCGGCGCCGCTCCGCCTCCGGTCAGCTGGTCGCGCCCTTCCGGCGGGGCGTGCGGGGGCCATGCGGATCGAGAAGTGCTACTTCTGTTCGGGGCCCATCTACCCGGGGCACGGCGTCATGTTCGTGCGCAACGACTGCAAGGTACCGCCTGGCAAGGGGAGGGCGCGGCTGGTGCCCGTCAGCGGCGGCGCCTGGGCCCGCTCCTCCTAGCAGCCTTCCCGGCTGGGCCTGGCCCAGCGCTCCCGCGGCGGTCCGGGCCTGGGGCGGGGTGGGGTGTGTGTGTTCCCGTTGTGCACCTGCGGCCCCGGAGCCACCCGCCGTGCTGGAGCCCGCGTGGTCGCTGCCCACGCCGCGCGCGCCGTCGTGAGGGGGCCTGAGCGGGCGCCGCGCGGGTTTGTTGGCGCTGTGGGGGCCGCTGCGTGGAGCGATGCAGTAACCTGCCAGCTGCTGCGGCGGTCA